TGAGAGAGAGAGAGAGAGAGGGAGAGAGAGAGAGAGAGAGAAGAGAGAGAGAGAGAGGAGAGAGAGAGAGAGAGAGAGAGAGTGAGAGAGAGAGAGAGAGAGAGAAAGAAAAGGAGAGAGATGAGGAGAGAAAGAGAGAGAGAGGGAGGGAGGGAAAGAAAGAGAGAGAGAGAGAGAAGGATAGGAAGTGGATAGAGAAAAATCCAAAGCCAAATTACCACTTTTTTTCTATTATCCTCTTCTATATTTTTCCTGTTAACGCTATCGACAATTCGCCATTGTTACGAAAGAGATAAAATGACACATAATTAATAAAAACAGTTTCCAGAAGCGTATATGTTCTGAATTATAGAAACCGGGCAATTAGTGAACAACAAAAGCAGTTTTAAACACGAAATATATTTTCCCCATTATTCCTTTTGAATTGTGCTATTTTTGCTTTTATATTTAACGAAGGTGAAGTTGGGGTAGAAATGTATTTATTACGCCTCCTCTTTCTCCTATCTTCCTCTCTTTCTCTTCTCTCTTTCCCTCCTCCCCACCCTACCCCTCTTTTCCCCTCCTGCTTCTACCTCTTTTCCTTTTCCTTTCTCCCCCATTCTCCTTCCTTCCCCACCCCTCTTCGCTCCCTTCTTCTTCCTCCCTCCTTCTTTCCCCCTCCCCCATTCCTTCCCCTCGCTCCTCCCGGTCCTCCCTCTTCCTTCCCCCTCCCTCTTTCTCTACATCCTTCCCTCTCCTCGATTCCTCGTCCTTATCCCCCCCCCTTCCATTCTTTCCCCCCGTCTCCCTTACCCTTACCTCCCCCCCCCTTATCATCAATATTCGTACCATCAAAATCATTATATTCCATTTCATATTACCAATGCTGTTGCTGCTTGTTGGTGTTTTTTGTTGTTATCATCATCGTTGATTATTGACTAATATCATTATCATCATAATTATCGTAATTATCATTATCATTGTTTTTATCATTAACATACTTATTATTATCATTATCATGATAACTGTTGTCAATATTATCATGATTATCATTATTATTATCATTATCATTATTAGTATCATTAGTATCATTATCATTATTAGCATCATTATCATTGTTATCATTATCATCATGCTTATCATTGTTGTTATTGTTATCAGCATTATTGTTATCAATTTTTTATTATCATTTTCATTATCATCATTACTATCGTAATTATTATTATCATTATTATCATTATTGATATGATTAATATTACTATTATTTCGAGTATCATCATTATCATTATCACTGTTATTAATGTCATCATTATCATCCTTATTATCCTCACTGTTATTGTTATCATTATCATCAATATTGTCATTGGTATTATTATAAAGAATCATAATCGTTTGCATTATCATACATTGCCATCGTCACTCTTATCATTATAATATTATCATTACCTTTTTAGTTTATCATGATAAAATCATCACTTTTCTTTCATTCTTTCTCTTCTCTCCTTCTCTCATTTACTCTAAATCTTATTTATGCACTCTCCTGTACATTCTAATAAATCCTTCTTATAAATAATCAACAAAAACAAACATGCAATGAGTATTCTAGAGCGTTGCGTCATTGAGCAAAATAGTATGATTCATTGAAATAATTTATCGGCCTCAAGTACAGTTTGTACTGCAAGTGACAAATGCTTTATTGAGTTTCCGGTTTGCAATTTGCCTCTCCTGTTCGCTTTCTTTGTTGTCGTTGCTTTGTTGCATCAACTAAGCAGGATATGATACGATACGACATGAGTAAAGTTCTAACAAAAAATATCGTGGTTCAGTTTTACATACTTCTACTATTGCTACTACTACTATCTTCTACTATTGCTACTACTACTATTACCACTACTACAACTAATAATAATGATACTGATTATTACTACTACTCCTACTGCTGCTACTATTGTTACTACTACTACTGCTACTATTGTTATTGCTACTACTACTACTACAACAGTTACTACTGCTACTACAACAGTTACTATTGCTACTACTATGATTCCTTCCACTACCTCTACTACTACTACTAATCTTACTACTACTGCTACTACAACAGTTACTATTGCTACTACTATGATTCCTTCCACTACCTCTACTACTACTACTAATCTTACTACTACTGCTACTACTTCTACCAAACTTACTACCACTACTTCTACTAACTCACTACCAACTACTACACTATCACAATCATCATTATTATTATCATTACTCTAATTATCTCTCCGCCTTCCTTCCCCCAGCGATGAGAACTCCCGCGCAGGCGCCGACGGCGGTGGTCTTCGCGACTCTCCTCTCCCTCGTCGTCCAAGCCTCTGCCTCCAAGTACGTGGTGATCGAGGAGGACGACCAGAACTACCTGCCGCCCCTCTCTGTCGCTCAGGGGGACGACCCGGAGGAGGGCGACTCTCTCAAGGTCGACCTCGAGTCCCAGGAGGAGATCGACAAGACGTGTGAATGTTACAACGAGTACCAGATCAGCTGTTTCGAGAAGATGAAGGCGAGTCATTCTTTTCTTTGTCTCTTTTTCTCTCTTTTTTTTTTTTTCTCTTTCCCTCTCTCTCCCTCTGTTTATGTCGGTCTCGCTCTCTCTGCCTCTCTCTCGTGTGCGCGCACGCTCCTTTCTCTTTATTTCTTACTGCCCTTCTCTCCACTACACTAATTTGGATTTACTGAACTGTTTGATTTAATAATTCTAATGTCTGAAATTTTCAAAATCTTAATTAGTACACTATCCTTTCAAAGTTTTCATCCCACGAAATAACTATGAAACTGAAATAATGTTATCAATCTCCACTCGAGAATTTCGAATTTAAGGGAATCTCGAGAAAAAAAATTCAAATTTGACTTACCTAATTTTCAGGTGGGTAGCATGACTGCAACGGTCTTCAGGCTCGTGGAATGGATTGAATTCATTCCTCTGTTGAGTTTGTGCCAAATGCCATAATGGTCATTGAAACATTCTTAACCATAAACCTGGTGCCGGCAGGTAAAATGTTTGGCAATGGATGTAATAAACGGGATTGTTGGCGCATATCGGCAGTTTCCTGATTCGCCAGGCTCGTTCGTAGTTTGCGGAGCGACATTTAGCACCTAAAAGCTTTTATTGTGCTATAATTTATAAAAATATAATCTTGAAGTTTTCCTATCATATAGGTGCCACTGCCTAAAATCTTTACCATACAAATGAAGCCGCTGCTATCGGAGAAAAACAAACTGTCAGACGAGCCAACGGCACAGGAATGGGCATGAATAAATCAAAATAAACGGGGCATATCATAATGTAAACCTTAGTAATGCCAATTATAATACAAAAAAGGAATAATTTCTACTAACGTAATTCATATCAAAAGTTAACTCTATATCCTCTCTTTTCCTACTAGTTATAGATCAATGACCATTAACATAAACAAAATAAAGATATATGTGAGACGGAATCGAGACCCTCACTCCCCCTTCTACCAGTATCTTACCATGATTTTACTTGCATGTGAAATGTTTCCCTTCCTTTAATTTTTTATATTTTCCTCTTACACTTTTCCTAAAAAAATAATTCCACTTCTCAATCTATTCATTGATACTCTTGGAACTGTCTCCTCTGATTAGTTTCGTTGCTGTATCCACAAATTAAAAATGAATATCTAATTAAATAACTAAAATATTCCCTAGCAACAAAGTGTCATGGCGTGTTGTTTTCACCTCATTTTCTCAACCCTTTCTTCTCTCTCCCTGTATGAGGCAGAAGCTAGGACTATTCTAAATTATCACAAAACAATACAAAGGGATTTTATGATTACGTTAATCTACTTATAAAGCATTACGATCTATAATACCAGGCTAAAACTTAAAATACTCTCACTTAACATGCCTTTGTACGGGGAAGAAGCCAGGACTCCTCTGACCAGATGGTATTAAGATATTGAACTTACTGCTTTCCCCAATATGAACTGTTGACATTTAGAACAAACAAACATTCACGACCCATTATGATTTAGTCTAATTGTTATGACAGTAAATTTTGCTATATTATTATGCCTGTAAGAATATAAAAAAAAAAAATGTAAACAAACGTTTCAGTAGAGTCCATACATGATTAAATTTGGAACCAACACATCTTTTAATATATATATATATATATTATATATATATAATATTATATATATATATATATATATATATATAATATAATATATATGTGTGTGTGTGTGTGTGTGTGGTGTGTGTTGTGTGTGTGTGTGTGTGGTTGTGTGTACTGTATATGTACCCCACCCCTCGCTGTAACTTCCTATTCATACCTCATCCCCTCGTCTTTTTTCTTCATACCTTCTTCCCTTATCCTCCTCCTCACCTCCCCTTCATCCTTCTCTCCTACCTCCCCCTCACCCTTCTCTCTCCTACTTCCCCACTCACCCCTTCATCCTCCTCCTCCTCCCCTTACCTCCTCTTCCCTCTCCTTTCCACCTCATCCACACGATTAACCCACCCCTCACCCCCTTCCCCCCTACAGATGTACGGAGCCTTCATCATCTACGGATGTGCACCTCTGGCCACATGACGGGTCGGAGGAGGAAGCGAGCCAGGGTGAGTCCTCTCTCTGACTATCTTTCTCTCCTTTTTTTCTTTCTTTTTCTCTTTCTCTTTCTTTCTTTATTTCTTTGATTCTCTTTTTCTTTTTCTCTTTCTTTCTTTTGTTTTTTTTCTTCCTTTTCTTTTCTTTTTGCTTGATATTTGCACAGCTTCGAGGGGTTTTCTGGGGGAGGGGAGGGAGGGGAGGGAAGGAGGGAAGGAAGGGAGGGAAGGGAAGGGAAGGGAAGGGAAGGGAAGGGAAGGGAAGGGAAGGGAGGAGGAAGGGAAGGGGAGGAGGGAGGGGAGCGAAGGGAAGGGAAGGGAAGGGAAGGGAAGGGAAGGGAAGGGGAGCGAAGGGAAGGGAAGGGAAGGGAAGGGGAGGAGGGGTTGTTTTTGCTTTTGCCTTTCCCGCGGAGTCTGTTTCGACTCCTGACGAAGCACCTCCTTCAGAGCGACGTCGAGGAGGACAACTTCCCCGCCACGCCCCCGCCCTTCTACCGGGACAACAGCTGCAGGAGCACCTCGCCCATCATCTTCTCTTCGTCGGGCATGAAGGAGCGCGTCACCATCGGCAAGGCCCCGTACCTCCTCATCTGCAGGAACAGCATCGGGCCGCAGCTCAAGTTCCTGACGGTGACGGGGGTGGAGAAGGTCGTGGTCTCGGCGGGGGCGCTGAGGACGCGGACCACCAACGTCGTGGTGACCTTCTCGGACATCGGGCAGAATCTGACCATTCCCGAGGGCGCCTTCTCGGTGCAGACGGACCCGGCGGGCGGCGGCGGCGGCGGCGACGACGGCCTGGAGAGCGACTCGGGAGGCTTTCCCCCGGTGGAGGTGGAGCTGAAGGTGCAGGGCGTCCCCGGGCTGGAGCTGAAGAGCAGGAGCATCGTGGCCCCGAGGGTGACCCTGGACGTGCGGCAGGCCCAGGCGCTGGTCATGGGCCCCGACGCCGTCGTCCCCTTCGCCAACCCGGACGCCTCTGGACTCACGATCGTCGACACGGCCAAGGCGGTGATAGAGAGTCGGGCCATGACCTTGGGCATCCTGCTGATCACATACACGAATAAGCTGTTCCTGAAGGACTCCGCCTTGAAGGTGGGCCCCGAATACGGCGGGGAGGCGTCCCTGGAGCACATCGACTACGCCTCCTTCGGGTCGGAGGCCCTCAGCCTCGGGCCCGACGTCATTCTCACCATCAACGACGTGACAATCTCGGAGGCCGGAAGGAGGGCGATCCACAACTTCAACTCGAGAGTCGAACCCCTCACGAAGGTCACGCTCACCGAGGTGCAGGGCGCGGGCCTCGAGAGGGGAGCCGTGTGCCTGGTGGGGAGTACGGCCATCACCTTCCGGGTGTTCCTCGAGGACGGGCAAGGCCGGCCAGCGGGCTGCATTGAAGGCAGGACCCTGCACGAAGGCCTAACTGAAGGCAGTACTAATCACGCAGTCATTTGCTCGGCTCCTTCCACCTCCGGCACCCTGTGCGGCCATGACGAGTGCAGATTCTGCAACCCTGACCTGCCAGGTGAGTTAAGCTATTAGTGCAAACTTCGGTTACTTCCACTCCATAAGTTCAGAAATTCCAGTTGCTACTGTTTGACCAGCACCTTTTGGTTGTAACAAACTATTTCATTTATCTAAAAAAACAAAAACAAAAAAACGGGGGTTCTGTTACACATAATTATTTAGTTTTGAAACATTTCAGAAACATCAACCGAAACAACCAGCATAACGCTCCCAATAAGGACAACGTTAGCAACTACTACAGAAGGTAAACAACACAGACCAAGTCCCAAATATGCCATATCCTCATTTCTATAGCTATCGACGTCTTATAAAATGAAAGAGAGAGAGAGAGAGCGAAAAAGAGAAGGGGAGGGGGAGGAAGAGATGAGAGAGAGAGAAAAAAAAACGAAAAAGAGAGGAAGAGAGGGGAGAGAGAGAGAGAGAGATAGGAGGGAGGGAGGGAGAGAGGGAGAGAGAGAGAGTGGGGGAAGGAGGAAGAGGGGGAGAGAGAGAGGAAATTTCTTGAATTATAACCAAAAATTCGTATTTTTTTCCTTCCTTCCCACCTTCGAGGGAGCGACAGCCCCTCTTCAACCTCACTGTCCACACCTACGACCGCGGCTGAGGAAATCCTAGCGACCGATGCCTCAATACTCCCGGCATATTACGAACACGACTACACCTACGACACGTGGGAGAACGAGACCGTGGTTTCCCCGCCTGAAAGTACGACTCCTTTCGACTTCTTGGGGATCCCTCTCTACCTGCTGATCATCGCCGTCTGCACAGCCACCATTCTCCTTCTCCTGGTTGCTTACTGCCTCTGGTCTTACTACCGGAGCAAGAGAGTGAGTAGGAGGTCTTACTGTAGTGTGTTATGTGTGATAACATCCATAAAAACGCAAAAGGAGTCGTGATTAACAGTCCCAGTCCCTGATTCACTCCCTCGGTCCCTTTCCCCCCCAGGAAGACAAGTACCGTCTGCCGCGCGAGGGCCGAGAGACGACCTTCCACAACAAGGCCCCCGCCGCCCGCGCCATAGCCACCTCCGAGCCCATCTTCACCCTGGGGAAGCCGCCGCACCCCGCTGGAACCCCGCCCAAGGACATGTACATCTCCTTCCAGTTCTTCAAGCCACCGCCGGGAAGCTCCTCGGAGGAACCCCACGTCGTCCAGAATGGCAACGGAGGTCCTCCCCACGAGCAAGGGAGTCCAGCGGTTCCTCCTCCAGCAGAAGAGGTCCCGGATGTCAAGGAGGAGGAGGGATTTGACGGTCATGAAAGGGGTCATGCAGACGGCGAGGAAGGGGTCGAGTCTGCTCAGCCCTCTGGACCATGCACAGACGACGAGCCAAGACAGGAGAATGGGGATTCCTTGCTGGCTGACCAGCTTCCACATGAGAGTGAGTAACAGTGTTCAATTATTTCAGCCAATTATTTACTCTCTCTCTCTCTCTCTCTCTCTCTCTCTCTCTCTCTCTCTCTCTCTCTCTGAAATGGCAATTTCTGAGGGAATTTCATCTCCCTCTCTACTTTATGTCGTATATGCAATATATATTTTCCTTCTATTTGTCTGTTTATAATATATGCGCAGGTGTAGATGAAATTAGCATACCAAACCTTTACTGCAAACTCAGTTTTGATGAATTCATCATAGATTATCTAGATAAGTTTATAATGGAAGTTTTCCCTGTGTGTGAAAATTTATCTAATCGATTGTTTGCCGGCAGTTGAATAGTTTGCATAAAGAGGAAACCTCCAGAAAATAAAAGAAACACGAAATCGTATATTTGATACTCTTTATGTTTTTGGAATATATATACACATACATACATATATAAATATGCATATATATNAAAGAGAGAGAGATAGAGCGAAAAGAGAGGGAGGGGAGGAAGAGATGAGAGAGAGAGAGAGAGTGAGAGAGAAAACGAAAAAGAGAGGAAGAGAGGTGAGAGAGAGAGAGAGAGATAGGAGGCAGGGAGGGAGAGAGAGAGAGAGAGAGAGATAGGAGGCAGGGAGGGAGAAGGGAGAGAGAGAGATAGAGGCAGGGAGGGAGAGAGGGAGAGAGAGAGAGGGGGGAAGGAGGAAGAGGGAGAGAGAGAGAGGAAATTTCTTGAATTATAACCAAAAATTCGTATTTTTTTTCCTTCCTTCCCACCTTCGAGGGAGCGACAGCCCCTCCTCAACCTCACTGTCCACACCTACGACCGCGGCTGAGGAAATCCTAGCGACCGATGCCTCAATACTCCCGGCATATTACGAACACGACTACACCTACGACACGTGGGAGAACGAGACCGTGGTTTCCCCGCCTGAAAATACGACTCCTTTCGACTTCTTGGGGATCCCTCTCTACCTGCTGATCATCGCCGTCTGCACAGCCACCATTCTCCTTCTCCTGGTTGCTTACTGCCTCTGGTCTTACTACCGGAGCAAGAGAGTGAGTAGGAGGTCTTACTGTAGTGTGTTATGTGTGATAACATCATAAAAACGCAAAGGAGTCGTAATTAAACAGTCCCAGTCCCTGATTCACTCCCTCGGTCCCCTTTCCCCCCCAGGAAGACAAGTACCGTCTGCCGCGCGAGGGCCGAGAGACGACCTTCCACAACAAGGCCCCCGCCGCCCGCGCCATAGCCACCTCCGAGCCCATCTTCACCCTGGGGAAGCCGCCGCATCCCGCCGGAACCCCGCCAAGGACATGTACATCTCCCTTCCAGTTCTTCAAGCCACCGCCGGGAAGCTCCTCGGAGGAACCCCACGTCGTCCAGAATGGCAACGGAGGCCCTCCCCACGAGCAAGGGAGTCCAGCGGTTCCTCCTCCAGCAGAAGAGGTCCCGGATGTCAAGGAGGAGGAGGGATTTGACGGTCATGAAAGGGTCATGCAGACGGCGAGGAAGGGGTCGAGTCCTGCTCAGCCTCTGGACCATGCACAGACGACGAGCCAAGAAGGAGAATGGGGATTTCCTTGCTGGCTGACCAGCTTCCACATGAGAGTGAGTAACAGTGTTCAATATATTTCAGCCAATTATTTTTACTCTCTCTCTCTCTCTCTCTCTCTCTCTCTCTCTCTCTCTCTTCTCTCTCCTTTCTCTCTCTCTCTCTCTCTCTCTCTCTCTTCCTTCTCTCTCTCCTTCCTTCCTTCTCTCTCTCCTTCTCTCGATTGTTTGCGCGCCAATTGAATAGTTTGCACAAAGAGGAGCCTCCAGAAAATAAAAGAAACACGAAATCGTATATTTGATACTCTTTATGCTTTTGGAATATATATACACATACATACATATATAAATATACATATATAAATATAAATATAAATATATATATATATATATATTATATATAATATATATATATATATATATATACATATATATATACATATATATATATATATATATATGTATATATATATATATATATAATATATATATATATATATTATATATATATATATATATATATATATAATATATATATATATGATTTATAATTATGTTCATGATTATACACACACACGCGCAAGCACGCATGCACGCACACACCCCCCCCCATACACACACACACACATGCAATCTGACAAAGCACCCACTTATTCACTGTAACCCTAGTGCGGTTTTGAGTTCTGTTAGTGCCCCATTATGAATAATATAATGCAACATGTTGTCTGTGTATTAAATAAGTGTTTGCTTCTGGCTAAAAGAAAAAAACTCGCTCCATTTGTTTGATTAGCCGATAGCAGATGGTGCAGCTACGAGAAGCATTTACAAAGGTCAAAGTGGTATTGCTGAATTTTTTATTTCATTTAGTTACCATACATAGAGATCTTTAAATCATGAAGTGTTTTCATGTTTCAGGAAATATGCAGCTATAATTGATAAATGCCGCCTCATCTCTATGGGTAATGACATTTCCATAAACAACCATTAAAGGAAATCACATTTGAAAAGTATTCCACTAAAAAAGCCAAAAAATACTATTATAAGATCAATTATCTTATATACATATTAATAGACTAATTGGTTATTTCCATTCTACCAATCACACTCTTTATTACACACAATGATTTTAGCCCCATTCATGAAAATAGTATTTACCCTATGTTTACATCAAAATGGTTGCCATATGCATGAAAATGGGACCCAGCAAGTGTACTGAAATATAATTCAGGAACTGTACATTACCCCAAGCTGAAAGTAGGTGTACTAACAACCAAGATTATAGGACAAGCATCCGAGGCCTATCGTATAAGTCCTTTCAAACTGAACTCAACTCCAACTTTCGCCTTGCAGGAGACAATGAACCCGAGTTGGAGGAGGCGAGTGAGCAGACAGATCTTCCGACAAGACAAGAGGAGGAAGAGGATGCAGGTAGTCTGTCTTCCAGTGAGATTGAGAGCTCGTCCAAATTCTAAGGGAAAAGATGCATGATGTGGTTATATATATTGCTTATAAGTGAATTAGATAGAAACTGGAATATGTTCATGGATTTTGCAATGCAGTGCAAAACAATGATCAGTTATTATTAAGAATTATGTGAAAATATAAGGAAAAATCCTGATAATCATCAATCTTTTCTTAACCAACTTTTATCTTACCCGAGTCTTTTCTCTTTTTTTTCTAATAATCTTTAACTATGATAAATGATGTAAAAAGTGATTTAATAAGAGAATTAATCCATAATTTAAGAGAGATTACATAAAACAAGAAGAGGGAGGAGGAAAGGAAGAGGAAGAGGAAGAGAGAGAAGGGGAGAGTGAGAAGGAGAGGAAGAAAGTGGAGGAGGAGGAGGAGAGGAAAAAGATGGGGACACTGAAGGAGCGAGAGAGAGAGAGGAGAGAACAAAAAAGAGACAGAGAGGGGGGAAGGATAAGAGCAAAAGTAAGAAAAAGATAGAAAGAAAAAAAGGAAAAAGAGAGAGGTGGAAGGAAAATGAGGAAAATGAGAGGAGAGATGGAAGAAAATGAAGGGGAGGAAGAGAGAGAGAGAGAGAGAGAGAGAGAGAGAGAGAGAGAGAGAGAGAGAGAGAGAGAGAGAGAGAGAGAGAGAGAGAGAGAGAGAGAGAGAGTACTACATATACAGATAAAAAAAACACTAGGGGAAAAACTGAGAAGCATTCCATGAACTAGGAAGGTAAACAATATAGTATATTTGGAATTTTATTGATTTCCCTACATAAAATCTCTTTAACAAGTACATCACTAAAAAGAAAAATATAAAAACTTTTTACTTCCTACTCATTCACTTAATTCTCAAAATGCTTTTCAATTCAATTTCTTTTAACAAGATCAGAATCCATAACTAGACACAAACATCTTCTTGAAATGTAAATCATTCATAAACTGACAAACCTCTTATGCCTAATGGTTGAAAAAAGTATAATGATCTTTATCATATTCTTTCTTGGTATATGTACAATTTGTGCAAACACTTGAGCGACTGAGAGTGACCGGGACTATTAAGAAATAAGCATGAAAAGAAACCTCTCCGATTCAATTACATGAACACAACTGAAACATCAATGAAAATGCAGTACTGAGCTTACTTCATGAGAGTATCTATAGTTTCAGAACATTATATTAAGGCCGATACTCATTTTATACTTTATAATAGTCATGGGTATATGTCACCACGAAACATGTTGGTGAAAAACAACGTAATACATAACACTGTGTAACTACAAAGATGAAACAGCAGCCTTAGTTAAAGTAACTTCCTTTTCAAAATAGACATAAAATCTACTGTTACATTCATTTCAAAAATGTCATCGTACCTTTACCTTTTTAATTTTCTTTGCAAACCTGTTATAACCATATTACACTTTTTAAAATTTCTTCTTGCTATGTCACTACAAGCCTTTCTTTCAGTTACTAATTATGAAGTATGTTTCATAATATATCCCATATTAATGACCTGAAATTCCTGAGAAACACTTGCTATCTGCTGGAATACTGCACAGATTACACAATACATAATGAAACTGAATAAAAACTTGTAAATGTATCTCTTTGTACAACATGAAAGTGCATTAAATATTCTAAATGAATTCAAAGAATTTTCCTTAAAACCTTTTTGCAAAGCACTAGAACCTCAGGAAAACTTTTAGGTAATTCCATACTTTAAAATAATTCAGCATTTTAAAATTAATTACTAAGTCTATAAGAATATATTTCATAATAAAACCTCTGATAACTGAAATTTTAAAAATCTAAAATAAATTTGATATTCTACAATAAATCTTATTTCTGAAAGCAATGTTTCCTTAATAACAACTTAAAAGGATCATATTTACAAAAAAGTATTACAACCAACTTCACAATATACTTGCAAACGTGTGCATACATAAAAATGTGTGTGCATATGGTTGTATGTATGTGTGTGCTTATTTGTGTGCTTGTGCATATGGGTGTATGTATGTGTGTGCACTTGTGTGTGTTCAACAAATGACTAATACAAATCTGTAAGAAGAAAAGTCAACAAAATATGACAGTAAACTATTAGTCTGTCCTGATATCCTCCACAATTAAATGCATCTTCCATCATTTCTTCCCCTCCAACCATCCTCCCCTTCTCCCCTCTACCCCTCTACCCCATCACCCCCCCCCTAACCCTCCATTAAACCCCTCACATCTTGGCCTGGGGCTTCAACAGGCCCTGCAACTTCTGGGTCAGCATCAACTTTCCCGGAGACCTTGAGTTTGCCGACATGAAGGCCTTCTGGCGTTGAGCTTCCAGTCACCATGGCAACCAAATCGGCATCCTCCAGGTGAGGGTGACGTCGGTTTGAGTCCATTGCGTGGCGCTCCTCGTAGATGGAGCCCGGGGCGTTCTTCAGGTCTACCGCTGTGAAGGAATATGTTTGGAACTTAGTTGGCTTTGTGTCATGTGGAGGTATGAAGCAGTATGGGGCTAATAATTGGGCAAATAACTGGTACTTTCTTTGCAGTATTATTTAACACACAACTTCAGAGAAATCAGCAACAATATATCATTGATAATGCAGCTAATAATGGATGTATATATATAAACTTTTCCTAATACCAATCACCATCTTACACAAATAACAAAACATAAAGAAAAAGAAAAAAGAAAAGATTAAAAAAAAAAAAAAAAAAAAAAAAATTATATAATAAATATATATATATATAATATATATATATATATATATATATATATATATATATATATATAAAATAAAAAAAGATGAAAAAAGTAAAAGACAAAGAAGAATCACACTCACTCCACTGCCCAACTGGCTTCTTGTCCAAGTTTATGTTCCACAGGAAAACAGCCTTCACTTTTTTTAGCCATGTCCGGATCGCCAGCCAGACGCTGTGACATTTCATGGAAGACTGCTGCACTGGCGAGTTCTGGCTTAGATGGAGCGGATGCGGATTCAGCGGAGGCTCCGCTTTCCACAATATCCACATAGCCACCTGAGAGAGCGAGGGGACTGATGACTGCGTTGCCCTTACAACAAAATTATTTCTGCTTCATAACTAAGGGCTGGTGAAGTCTGCTGCCTTTCAGATAAAGATAACTCAGTTTCTTGATATCAGAACATGTCTAATATGATATACAGTCTCCCTACATTGGATCGAATAGTTTGATGTCATTTGTATATGAGGCTACACTGCACAAACATGTATACAACATGAATCAATATATCGTCATGAAATGAAAAATCTGTGTATGAAAAGTAGTTATATTTTGATTTGTTATTTCTTCAGAAAAAGAAAATATGTTCATTATATAAGGCTGTAAGAGTAATACATGCATGTCTTCTGTGGCTTTGATTACTACTGAATCACACACCATAGGAACTGGCCTAAAAGGTTAATGCTAATGGACTAGTAACAGATAAGAAAAAATACATCATTTGTAAGAATAAATATGTATTGCAGTACATACTCATTTTCAGAGATAACCATTATCTTTTTTCTTTCTATTTTTATCAAGGCAAAGATAACAACTGGGAGATGCTAGCCATTTGATAATTAACAGCTTGGTCAAAATAATAATTCTAAATACAGCAACATTATTCAAACATATTGCAATGAGTCATCCACCACCATTGTCACAAATGAATCTTCGCCTCAGGAAAAACAAAAGTGTACACAGCAAGCTTACATTTTCATGTCATGTACCCACCTGTGAGACAGTCCTTCCCCGTCTCCTTGACAGAGCAAGTGAAGAACACGCGTGCTCCTTCCTTCCACATGTTGACTACAAGGGTCTGACCTGGGAGCACTGGCTTTGCAAAGCGACACTGGGAAAAGGAAACGCATGGGATAGAAATTCAGTAAACTGCGATATGGGTCTGATGAAAGAATTAGTATCCAATCATTATGGTATGTTCAATCATGTTTTAGAATTTAAATTTTTAGAATTTAAAGTTCAAAATCAAAACTAGATGGTGATCAAATGCAAAAACCTGTGACAACTGAAATGTTTTAGACTAACAATAAAAGCAATATTCAGTTCCTGTAACTTGACTTTACTTTATCTGAACAATACAACACCACACAAAGGCAAAAACATGGACCCTAATTATCCTTCATGGCCCTAAATTTATGGATATCATTACTGCTGAAACATCTTGTCCCCATGGGAGCATAGGCAATGAAGAATTATGTATCTTCCTACATATAACAACCAATATGCACAGAAAAAAAAAAATCTCATTTAGCATCTCAACTAACCTTAATGGCCTTGAATTTGCTAACATCGTTGCCACAGAAATGCTTCAAGATAATGCGACAGGTAATCCCATAGGAGCACAGTCCATGAAGGATGGGCTGCTGGAACCCTCCCATGGCGGCAAAGGAAGGGTCGATGTGCATAGGGTTGCGATCCCCACTGAGCCGATACAAGGCAGCCTGCAAGGGTGATAATATGTTGTAGTTATAAAGGCAAACATCAAGAAGACAAGGAAATGAGGATTGGCAGATACTATCAAATTTCTGGTCACGAATCTGTCTACTACAGCTATGGACTTCACAACAGCAATATTGCAATGTGATGTATATGTGTATGAATGTGTTGTGTGTGTGTGTGTGTGTGTGTGTGTGTGTGTGTGTGTGTGTGTGTGTGTGTGTGTGTGTGTGTGTGTGTGTGTGTGTGTGTGTGTGTGTGTGTGTGTGTGTGCATGTATCTGTGCATGTGTGCATATGTGTGTGTGTGTGTGTGTGTGTGTGTGTGTGTGTGTGTGTGTGTGTGTGTGTGTGTGTGTGTGTGTGTGTGTGTGTGTGTGTGTGTGTGTGTGTGTGTGTGTGTGCATGTATCTGTGCATGTGTGCATATGTGTGTGTGTGTGTGTGTGTGTGTGTGTGTGTGTGTGTGTGTGTGTGTGTGTGTGTGTGTTGTGTGTGTGTGTGGTGTGTGTGTGTGTGTGTTTGTGTGTGTTGTGTGTGTGTGTGTGTGTGTGTGTGTGTGTGTGTGTGTGTGTGTGTGTGTGTGTGTGTGTGTGTGTGTGTGTGTGTGTGTGTGCATGTGTGTGTGTGCATGTGTGTGTGTGCATGTGTGTGTGTGCATGTGTGTGTGTGTGTGTGTGGTGTGTGTGTGTG